GTTGTCGAACACTTTGATTACGAGGAGTCACCGCTGTTTGGTGTCGCACTGGAACAGGTGCCCGATACGGTGACTGACAAGCGATCGCCGGCGTACAACAGGGGGCGGGTCTTCGTCCATGGCGCGTCCGCGGACACTGCCGCTGCCTACAAGCAGCAGTTCCAGGCGGATCTCGCCAGCTTCCTGCGCGCCCGCGCCGTCGAGATGAAGGTTGGTGGCATAATGTTCCTCGTTTGCCTCGGCCGGACATCCATCGACCCGGTCGACCAAGGCGGCGCAGGTTTCCTCTTCGGCGCCCACTTCCAAGACGCTTGGAACGACCTCGTCGAAGAGGCGAGCACTCACTCACACCGAGTTCACGTTTGCTTCTACCGCATCACACGCCACTAATCCGAACTTGCCATGTCCGTCGATCGCAGGGTCTGCTGGACAGCGAGAAGCGTGACAGCTTCAACATCCCCGTGTACGCTGCCTGCCTCAGGGAGTTCGAGGAGGTGGTGAAGGCCGAAGGCTCACTCTCCATCAACAAGCTTCAGGTCGTCAACGGAGGCAGCCCACTGGTGGTCGACCACCCAGAGGACGCCAGCGAGGTCGGGCGAGCTCTGGCTAACAGCTGCCGGTCGGTGGCCGGCGTGCTCGTGGAAGCGCACATCGGCGAACGTCTGAGCGAGGAGCTGTTCGGGAGGCTGGAGCTCCGGGCGGCACGCCATGCGAGGGAGCTGATGGCGCAGATGCAGTTCTTCCACATCGTCGCCTCGCTCTCTCCCTCGGTCCCACCTCATCCCGCGAGCTAATGCTTTCTTGATGAGCCCGTTCATGCGATTCCTTCGATTCATGAAGTACGAGATGACCGTAGAAGCATTCATGCAGTAATCGGACAAGAGACTGTGTTGGGGACGACGGAGCAAGGATTGAAAAGTATAGGCATTACCCCATAAATCTTAGGATACTATTTAGGGTAATGTTTACAACTATTATCTAAATAATTATTATAAATTAATTCTTAATACTGTTTTTACTGTTTGAGATATAAAATAAACATGCTTCTGAATTATAAATGATTAGGTAAGAATATCTATAACTTGTTGATAAGTACGATAATACTTTATTATTATGACTTCACTTGTTATACGATTTTGGATAAAATGATAACATATCTTTATGCTTCGTTCTTCTATAAAATATTATATTTTTTATCATTATAATTATATTATCATAAAATATTTTTGTTACTTCTTTTTGTTCTTGATGAAGATCTTCAAGAAGTCTTCTAAGTCATTGTTTGATAAACTACCGATGATGTAACTAAATATTGTTAGAAGTACTTTTTCTATCATCTAAAGCTCATCTCTAATCATTATCAAAAAAATTAAATAATTTATATTTAAAATTATGAGAATACCAAATATCAAAATTTGTGGTTCCAACAATATAATGTAGAATTAATTTAATAGCTCCGAGATAATATTTGCTTGGGCTATATATAAATCTGAATACAACGCCAATAGAGAAGTTAATATCTGGTTGAGTATGAGTTAAATAGATCAAATCTCCAACCAAACTTCTATAGTATCTTGTATTTGTTGAACATGTACTATATTCAAGTTTCAATTTCTCATTTACATTCATGGGTGTTGTTGTAGTTTTAAATTAATCAAGTTAGATTTTTTGAGTAGATCCATTTTATATTTTCTTTATGAAATAAAAATATCTTTATTTAATTTTCAACCTAAACAAATAATACAGTAGACTTAGATATGACATTTTAAACTTATTCTTCATCATATAATATCATCATGGGTGTTGTTGCAGTTTTACAATTAATCAAGCTAGATTTTTTAAGTAGATCCATTTTATATTTTCTTTATGAAATAAAAATATCATTGTTTAATTTTCAACCTAAGAAAATAATGCAGTTGACTTAGATATAACATTTTAAACTTATTCATTGTCATATAATATCATCGATATAAAGACAAATCATAAGAATATTATATTCACCTTTCTTCTTTACATAAAGAGTAAGTTCATTATTGCTTATCTTAGATCCGGTTTGAAGAAAATAATAATCAATTTTACTTACCATGCTTTCATAGCTTATACTATCTTTTTTTTCGTATCTTTTAACTAAAAAATAATTAATAAAAAAAAATTTATGTAAATTTCATATCAAATTGATAAACAGGGAGATAAGCAACTAAAGTTCTCATTGTTTTGAATCTAGCAACTAGAGAAAAAGTTCTAGATTGTCATAAAAATATCTTTATAGGAAAATCTAAGGGCGACATCACTTGCGTAGCGGAAGAACAAAAATAAAAGTCCTAGATTGCCACAAAAAAATTTCTTCGTCGTGCGAAGATTGATATGCAAAAATCACAAAATAAAAAATTACGGGTATATGAGAGATGTGTTTTACCTAGGGAGATCATATATCCCTGAAATCTTACAAATCTGTAGGAAAGAATGAAGGAGGTTAACTGTTCTCCTCTCTAGCGGCGATCCACATGGTAGGGGTTACGAAAGCTCTCCTTGAATCGTTGTCCAAATCTCAATACATCCCAAATAGGGGTTGTTGGCTGAGGATGAGAAGTGGAGAGGAGAATAAGAGAGGTAGCAAAAAAGGTCTAGCGTACGACCATTTGGTTCCTTACTATTTATAGAGGTTCATTGTCAACTTAACCATATTAGGTACTAGATCTTTATCTAACTACCAAGTCTATTGCATTAGTAGATCTCTATCCAATAATATCTCATTGACTCTTATTGGATCTCATCCATAGGATCCAATAATTAAGGGCTTATTGGATATCTAATAAGATAGGGGCTCCAGCAGATCTCTCATATCCAAACCCATACTCATCGCAACACTTACCATATGTGTATAACTCTAGGCCCAATATCAAGATGGGTGTGAGTAATATCTATCAAAACTTCTTCTGCCTCAATGAATTATTATCTTCATAATAATTTATTTGACTCATCGACTACAAACGTACGAGGCCATTATGCCATAGTCCCCAAACAATACAGGAGAATCCAATCATTTGGACCTATCTATCCTCCGTTATCGTATACCTATAATCCTTCATCCAATTAATATACCAGAGCCATATACTAGGTATGGTGCTATCAGACCCATACGGTTTCTACTTGAGTTTCACTCTAATCAGATTCTTCTGGAGAACTCTTTCTCTCTCAATCCGAATGACCCTAACTAGGGATTTGTCTAAACAAGGACACATGAGATATTGCTCTCATAGCACCGAGAGCTGATGATCCTCCATCGATACTCAATAGTCCTTACAAGGTTGGTTGTCACTCATGATAACCAGCTATATTAGATCTGAAACTTCTAGACCTATAAGTATGGTATTAAAGAATGAAGTACTCATACAAAATATTCTTGGTGTCTCAAGTCTAAGAACCAGATACACTATTGAGATGACAGAATCACTATATGACAAAGAGGTATCATCAACCATCCAATATTTCGTAAGTGGATCAATTAGTGAACTCATTCTCCAATGAGCATTTGCATTGTATTCTTAGTGTCCCCACATGAGCAGCTATGAGACCAACCATTTCTATCATATGGATATATATACAACACACCAGTCTATCCGGTCATCTCGATATTCCTCTCGAGTGACCTATGACCGAGATTATTTAAGGTCTATGTTTAAAGACAAATCGGTCTCATTATTATGATATCATCACGATCCGATTCCCATTTCACAGATCCATGGACATCACAATATATGCAGCATGTAAGATAAATTAATAAAATATCAAATAATATAATAAGTAAAAAGAATACGTGTCATGTCACACCCATTAGTCACGTGATTGTCTTGCAAGGAACCTATGATTAACAATCGTTTTGTTACAAGCGGAGCCTTATGTTTTTAGATACTTTCATCCATATTATATGTTGTTTTGAATGCCCATTTCAATCTAATAGCTTTCTTTTTTTTTCGGTATATCCATTAGCTCATAGGTTTCATTCTTCTCAATTGACTTCATTTTCTCTTTCATTGTCTTTCACCATTTCTTTTTTTTTTTAATTGCTTCCACAAAACTTATAGGATCTGAAATAAATAAAGTAAATGTTAAACCATAAATTTTTATTAGTGATCTGAATTTTCCTAGAAAGGTTTCATCTGAGGAATCATTTAATGAATTTGAACTACTTCTAGGTGAGATTATCGATAAACGTATTGGAGCATGATCTAAAGTGTCCAGTTTTGTTGGAATCTAAATTTATATTTCATATTCATTGATCTCTCGATTCTAACTTGTCATTTTATCAAACATAATATTTATGTTAATAGTAACTTTACCACTAACAAGATTATACATGTGATATACTTTTGATTATAAGGAATAACCAATTAAGATATATTTTTTAGATTTTTCATGAAGCTTATGATAGTTTTATGAATTTACTAAAATATAAACAATATAACTAAAAATTTTTAAGTGGCTTACACTTGATTAAATACCATACCAAGCCTAAAAAAGGGTTTGATTTATAACAATTTTTGTTAGTAAAATATTCAACAAATAAACTACTATTATAATTGCTTTTATCCAAAGCTGATTTAGAAGATACTTTCCTTTAAGTAAACTTCTTATCATTTTAATGACAGTTCGATTTTTATGTTTAGCTATACCATTTTGCTCCGGTGTATATGATACTTTCAATTCCCTATGAATACTATTTTCTTTATAAAAAAAATAAACTATTATATAAAAATTTACTACATTTATTCATCCGAAGTGTCTTTATACATTTACCATTTTGCTTTTCTATAAGTGTCTTGAATTTTTAAAAATTATCAAATATTTTATATTTCAGTTTCAAAAAATATACCCGTAGTTATAATCATTAGTAAACAATATAAATTATTGATTTTCATTAAATGATTTTATATTTATAAGCTTATTAGAAATTCTGATTAGAGTATCATATGTACAATGGAATAATAGAAAAATAAAAACATGAATTTCTCAAAAAAAATCTTGTCATCATACAATGATTGATACACAAAAATTATAAAACCAAAAACCAAATGTATCAAGTGAGATTTGTTATATTGGGAGATCTCAGATATTTAGGAGTGGACAAAGGAGGTCAACTATCCTCTCTAGCGGTGATCCATATAGATACAACAAAGATACTCTTCAAATCGCTGAACGATCTTTCACTCCATATGCATCACGTGATCAAGAAGGGGTTGACCATTTTTGCTGTCCACACACCCCAAATTAGGGTTGTATGCTATGGGGAGAGGAGAGGGAGGGGCAGCAAAGAGTTGACTAGCTTATATCACCTTTTTCCCTCTCCTATTTATAGAGGTTCTCATCACTTAACTCTAATGGATTTTGTTATATTGGGTATTGGATTTCTATCTAATTACTCAAGCTATTGAATTAGTGAATCTATATTTAGTCTTATTGGGTCTCACTCAAAAGATCTAAAAATTCATGGGCTTATTGGATATCCAATAAGATATGAGCTCTAACGAATATCTCATATATGAACCTCTATTCGTTGCAACACCTACAATATGTGTGTGACTCTTTAGTTTTAAATGAATTATTACTCAACTTATCGACTATTGATATACTAGGCCACTACGCCTTAGTCCTCAAACGATACAGGGGATCCAATCTATTGGACATATCTATCCTTAGTTACTATGTATCTATAGTTTCTTATCCATATAATATCCCAAAGATCGTATATCATGTATAGTATTTCCAGGTTCATATGAAATTTACTTGAGTCTCGCTCTAATTGGATTCTCTCGGAGAACTCATCTCTCAATCCGAATGGCCATAGCTAAGGATTTATCTGAGTAAGAATAAATAAGATATTTCTCTCATGACACTGAGAGCAAACGATCCTCTATCGACACTCAATTGCTCTTGTAAGATTGGTTGCCACTCTCGATTATTGATTGTGCTAGATCTGAAACTTTCAGACCTATAAGTCTAGTATTAAAGAGTATAGAATTCGATATCCTTGGTGTCTTAAGTTTAAGGACTAGACATATAAGTGAGATAACAAAATCACTATTTGACAATGAGATATCATCAACTATCCAACATTCTGTGAGCGGATCAATTAGTGAAATCATTCTCCAATGAGCACATACATTATATCCCTAGTGTCCCTACATGAGTAGATATAAGATTAGTTACCTTCATTATATGAATATGTATATAATATACTAATTTGTTCGTTTATCTTGATATCCCTCTCGAGTAACCTATGACTAGGATTATTTAGGGATTATGTTTAAAGGCAAATCGATCTTATTATAATGATCTTATCACGATCTGATTCTCATCATATAGATCCATGAATATCATAATATATGTAACATGTAATATAAAGTGAGAAAGTACTACTAATAATAATAAGAAAAAGACTATGCAGCATGTCACACATGCCATCACTCATGTGATTGGCTTGCTGGGCAACTATGACTAGCAAAGTCAATATAAATCAACATGAATTAATTCAAGATAATTAGATGCTCTCCATGTTTTTCTAACAAGAAATAATTTCTATCTTTAATAGTGTATGAACTATTATTAAATATAATTGAATATTCGTCATCTGTCAATTGTCCAACACTCAATAAGTTATGTGATAAATATTATCAAGGTGTTTTACTTTTCCTTGACTTGTTTTCACCTCAATTGTTTCTTTTTTTCTACTTGGATTTGCTTGTTATTTTTAAGTCCAACTTTCAACTTGTGAGTTTTATCAATATTTTTAAATATTGATCTTATATGTGATATATGATTAGAACATCCACTATCTAAAAACTAAATATCATTTGAGATATCATTAACTTGTGAATAAGTTATAAACTTACTAATTTCTTTATTTTCCTCCATAAAGTTTATTTTTCGCTTTTTTAACAATTTGCATTCTAAGTGATCAAACTTTTTACAATAGTAATATTGAATTCTAATTTTATAATTTTTTTATCATAATTTGATTGCTTTTGTTTATCATGCCCATCAAAGTGTTCTCTTCCTCTTCATCTTCTATTTTCTATACTATGAAATCCTTTGCCACATCATCTTTTTATTGTTATTTTTTTCTCTTCTTTTGAAGTAGAAGACTCTCCCTTAATCTGAAATACTTTTTCTTCACTTTTCTCAAGTGACTTATTCAATCTTACTTCATGTGCTTGCAAGGAACCCATTAGTTCATCAAATAAAAATATAGATAAATATTTTGACTCCTCAATTGCAGTAACAACATGATAAAATTTTGGAGTTAAACTTTTTAAAATTTTTACAATAATTAGATGATCATGAAGATATTTATTATAAGATTTCATTTGACTAACAATTTTAGTAACTCGAGAAAGAAAATCTTGCACCAACTCATTGCTTTTCATGAAAAAAATTTTAAATTCACGATGAAAATTTAAAGTTTTACTGTAATCATCCTCGATAAGCTTTGAAATTTATTTTAAAGTATTAACCAAGTTTACTTTGAGGTTATCACTACTGTAATTCTTTAGAATATTATCTTATGTACAACTTGTTCAATAAAGAACAATACCTTTGAATCCTTTTTATTCTCCCTCAACTTGGTTTCTTCATTTGGATCTGCATATCTATTCTTTATTAAGTCTCAAAAATCTTGAGACTTGAATAGAGTTTTTATTTTGATACTCTAAAATTCATAATATTTGCCCAAGTAGATAGAAATAAGGGGTTGAGACATGAAATTATCATTGAAAGCCATAATGCTCAGTTCAAATTAAAACATAGCTATGATACCATGAATGTTGAGGATGAAGGAGCAAAGAAATGATAAAAACATAATACCATGATGTAATTAAGAAAGAATACTTTCAATCAAGAAAACCAAAGTAGCATTAAATAAGAAATAAAACTTAGAATACTTATAAGATATTCGTACACACTCTATCTTGTTTCGTAAGCTATGACCCTATTTATAGGACCTAGTGGTAACTATCTTATCTCATCATATCACCTATGATTGAGCTAAGTATAGACACTATCCCTATAACTCCTAGATCATGAATTACTATTTAGAACATATCTATAAAACATGATAATTACCTATATAACTACTATAATTATTATAAATCAATTCTCAACAGTATATTGCAAAGGACTATATGACCAAATGGCTAATGAACCAATCTAGTGAGAATATATATATATATAATTATAATTATAATTGATATAATTCAGTTTGACCTTTCCATTGGTTATATGATATATTTGTCCTTCCAATATTGAAGATTCCTCACATGTATTGAAAAATCAGTAGTTAAATTCAAATTTTCAAAATATTAAATATGGAATTATTATGGATATGATAGTTTATTAGAATTTTATGACAGAGTAGTTTTTTTTTTCAAAAAGATAAAAGTGAAGATGAGAATTGATCACAAGACATTACTAAAACATTAATATAGTGGTAATGTATAAGATTCATTTACCAAAATCTCACTTGATAAATAAAAGTTTCAAAATACCATCTAATAAATTTTTTGATTTAGCAGTATAGGAGACCCACTTATAGGAAAGTAAGGATTCAAAGTCTCATTTGATAAATTTTTAATAATTAAAAAAGTTAATTTAATGGCAGTGAAAAAGATTCACTTGCAGGTGAGGAATATAAATTTTCACTCAATAAAAAATAATAACTTATGCTTAACATTTTAAAATTTACAGGTATATAATATTCATGTTATATTTATGTCAGTCCTTTCCAATGGTATAGGAACGAGAGAAGCAGCTTTTAGGGATTCATACGAAAAATACTGGTTTAGGGGAAGGTCGGTAAAATGACCAAATCAAATCGGCTGTATAATCGCGTCGCTTCGTACTGCCGGGGCGAATCTGCCGTCCCCCCAGATTAGTCTTGTGGGACCCTCACAGGCCCCTTTAAGAAGATGGCAGGGGCCCGAAAGGGTAACGCAGATACGGGTATGGAAGGTATTTGCTCAGGATCAACGCCCTCAGGAAACTAGCCGTTGCGTGCCCATCGCCCCCGCTTCCCCTCCATCCGACGGCTAGTTCTTCCCCCCTTCTTGATCTCGTTCCGCCTCTCCTCCTCCTTCTCTTCCCCCTTCGGTTTCCGTTCCTTGTTCCACCTCGGGAATCGGATCATGGAATCCGATCGCCGTTCCTCGACCATCCCACCTCCTACGCCATCGTGGGCGGCGGCAAATGCACCGGCCCCCACCCCTCTGGCCACCGACAGGAGGCCCCGACGCTCTCGTGTAAAGCAGGTCGGCTCTCGCTACTTGTCCCCCTCCCATTCCTCTTCTTCCGAACGACAACTCCTCGCCGCCTCGAACGGATTCCCCCCTCCCTCGTCCCTGTCACTCCTTCCCCAGAAGCACCGGCAGCAGAAGCCCCATGCACCCGAGGAGACCGACGAGAACCAGCCCCTGGCATCCATCAGGCGCAGCTTGGAGACCCCCCTCCCCTTCTCCGCCCAAAGCAAACCTCCCGGTACTCTCAAGAAGAGAGCCGTCGTCCGATTATTCGCCGACAACAGCCGTAATGACGTAGCAGAGCAGCCGCCGCGGCTTGCTGAATCGAGTCGGAGGCCGAGGCCGGGAACCCCGATGGCGCGCCCTGTTGTTGTGAATAACACCGGCGTTCCGAGGACGAACCCTCGGCCGCCCACCCCCACCCGGGTGAGCCTCTTTCCTCCCGAGGGCCACGGCCGTGCTTATGGAAGCAGCGACTACAGGTGGGAAGAAACCTCCTCGGAGAATTCTTTTTCTGATCCGGAGACTTGCACCGTCAGCAGTCAGGGCGGCCTCTGCTACAGTCCGCCCCTCCTCCCCCCTGCGCCTTGCAGACCGAGGTCGAGCGCCGAGATCCTGTCCTCCATGCGGGAGGCCGATCCCTTGCCAACCTTGTCGGCCAGACCTGCTGCAGTAGATGCGTGTTCCGGCTGGCAAGGCGCCGCCGAGGACCCTACGTTTAGAGCATCAACCACCTCGCTTTGCTTCCGCTCTCTGAGCTCGGCTATCTCCTGTCGTCAACAGCAGCATGTGCTCAATCTGAGCAGGTCCGTCAGTAGGCCCCTCTTCTCGTCGAGGCCGCCGCAACCACCTTGTGCTAAGCCAGGCGCAGAGGTGAAGAAAGGGAGGAAGGCGGTGGGCTGGCAGGAGGATGCCCATGTACTTAGGCTACTCGACAACCATTACATTCAGTGGAGATTTGTCAATGCGAGAGCACCGAGGGCAGTGGAACCTCGGAGGGTTGCTGCTGAGGTTAGTGAGTGTGGTGGAGGCTGCAGTGATGCTTAGATTTTTCTTTCTCGTTGATCACAAAACAGATACTGAACAGTATTGAGTTATTCTCAGAAATCACTGTACGGGCTCTCGGTGAGGATTGCAAAGCTTCAAAGCTCTGTTACAGAGAAGAGAATTCGGCTTGAACAGATTAAAAGAAGAGAGAGTTTATTGTCCATCATCCATCATCAAGTAAGATTTGTTCTTCTACCGATGCTACCTTCATATCGTCATCTGTATCTATATATGCATGGATTTCAATTCTCTCATCTACCATGATCTCTTTGCTCTTAAGATTTGCTTTTCTGCTTGGAATGGGCAAGAATTTTGCAGTAGGCCTGAGATTTCAGTTCAGTTTATAGAAAATACAATAGCTGCTCGCCAATTCCACTGAGACTTGCTTGCTTAGGCATCAGATTTTCCAGGCTCATCACTCTAATTTTGTTGAAAATTGCATCATTCCTTCTTACATTTCCTTTTAACTGTCTCTCATTCAAGGAAATCAAGCTACTAGCACAAGGAAAACCTTGAAATTTAAGGTCTCCACCATGGTGATAATGGTGGTCTTAAATACTTGTATTGGAGCACTGGTAGGATGATAAATTTGTTTTCTATTCTTTTTAGGCAGGTTTTAAGTGAATCTTATGAAATAATTCTTAGTAAGCTATAAATTCAGCTAGAGCTTTAGTTTATGATTTATGGATCCATTTTATGCTAAGAGCAAAGCATGCAACATCATGTTCATGATCATATGCTAGTACTTGAGACAAAAATAGTTATACGATAAAACGTGTTATAGTATCATGACTCTTCTTTATTTTAGATGCTGCATTTGGATGAGTGGACCATTCTTGAAGACGAACATTCAAGATCTGTTTTAGGGGCAACGAAGGCTCTTCAAGATGCTTCACTTCGACTTCCAGTCACTGGGAATGCGAGGGTACGACACCTTTTGGGTTAATCACTCCAAGAAATGTGATATATCTTTTCATTGCCTTTCTGGTTGATCGTGACCTATTATTTGATCTTATTTGCAGGTAGATATGAGAGAACTCAAGGAAGTTCTGGACTCTGCATTACTTATGGTGGACTCATTGACTCCATGTGTTGCGAGATTTCTACCAAAGGTGAAGTCTTTTTGCACACAAAATAACAATACACTACTGAAAGATATAATTGTTCGAGTTGTGAATTGATCTACAAAAAATTAATGTCCTTTCCACACAAGGAATTTTGTCGCAAGTCTAGTTGCTGTGTACTGTTCTCGTTATCGCAACATGCTTGTTCTTCGGCAAAACAATATATAATCAATCACTACCATGCACATTTCGTCCATCTTTCTTTTCTTCATATCATTCTGTATGAGTATTGAAATCTATGTGATTTTTCCTGAATGCCAAATTTGTACTTTTATAAATTTCTGTAAAGGAACTATGCTTACTAGATTACTATAGTGAGTGTAAATAAGTATTGATAAATTGGATCACCAAGTAGATATGCACCAGTCCTCTTTCAGTTTTAGCTAAAGATTTCAAATCTCTTGCAGTTTATGGCCCATGAATTATTTAGTTGCAATGTTCTAGCATGCTAATCTTTTACATTTCTAGCCTCTACTAACAATGGAGTAGTCCCACAACAGGCTGAAGATATTGATGATGCAGCCTCAGATCTGGCCAGTGTAATCAGTACTCAGAGAGCTCTGATCGAGGAATGTCGAAATCTTTTGTCGCAAGCACATGACTTGCAGGTTTGGCAACTTCACTTGAAGTTGTTGTTTCACCTCCTCTTTAGGAGATTACTCTTTGCTGCAGCATCAGCTTCTTTCACTTTTGTGTCTGATGCTAATATATCTGCAACAATTTCTTTCCTTTTTCTTATTCTTAGGTGAAGGAATGCTGCTTGAGAACCCAACTCATTCAAGCGAAGCAGAGCAACACATAGCAAACCTTTGCAATTTCTGACTCGGTGAGACTGCCATTCAACAGCCAAACCACAGATGAAGTAAAGTTGCTGCCTTTACATTCTTATTCATAGCTAATTTGGTTTGTTCATCATCAATCATGTAATTGATCAATCTCCCAACCACAGGTTAAGTAGCTTCAACCTAACAGGCTCCTGGGCCGAACCCAATCTTTTTCTTGGAGACATCATAGACTACGTTGAAGGTCTTCTGCTGCACGTTCCCCAGTATGCCCACATCGCTGTCATCGCCATTGGCGGCGAAGGCTAGGCAGACCTGCGACTGGCTCCCGACGTAGAGTGTCCCCGACAAGTCGAGCTCCATCGTCACGCCACCGCCGAACTGCAACGCCACCGTCGGAATGGACACCGTGCTGTGTCCTGTGAAGTCGTAGCACGTGTCCAGTATGGACAGCGCAGATGCCGTCTTGTAGCTCGACATGGCCTGCCGGAACGCCGACCGCAGCGCGGAGTACGCCGTCGGCGGGAGCCGTGTGATGACGGTGCCGGAGTCGATGATCGTCCCGGCGTCGTTGAACACTTTCGCCGATATCGGGAGGCGCTGGCCGGCGACGCTTATAGCCATCAGATTGAGGTAGTAGAAAGTCGGCGTGCTCGCGTCCGTCACCATCGGCGTGAACTTGACTTTTGACGATGGGTAGCCGGTGCCGAAGGTCAAGTAGCCCGTGGAGCTCGACGTCGGCGGCAGGCAGTAGGCGAAGACGCCACCGTATTTTTGGTACGTCTGCGTGACCAGCGACAGCTTACCGTGGCCGAGGCCCATCAGCCCTGCGGCCTTGCCGAAGAGCCCGCGGTTCCTCTCACCGCACCCGAACGGGAACTTGGGTATTACGTCGGTGGGGGACAACGAGAGCGTGTCCTGGGCAAAGAAGCCGATGCTGAAGGAGTTATCGCCGTACTGCACCCCGTAGAGACAGGCGGACGAGCTGCAGCCGGAGATATCGAGATCGGAGCAGTAGGTGGAGCTGCACGAGATGTTGGCGTAAGTAGAGGAGGCAGATGGGTTAAAGATCGGGTCTTGCTGCTCGTAGCAGTAGGTGACGCATGGCTGGCACTGGATCCATGTGATGTCGCTCCCGGTGTCGAAGATGACGGTTTGGTCCCTCTTCGGGGTGCCGAATCCGACGGTGACGACGTAGTTTCCGGTACTTACAGAGCTGCCGGGCCGCACTGGGATCTTCGATCCCACCTGCGACCCCCGCTGCCTGTCCAACTTGGCCGAGGTAGCGGCGGCGGCGATCCGGCGGCGGAGTGAATCGACTCGGGATCGATCCTCATCTAGAATCTGCTCAGGGAGGGGCGTCGGGTGGCTGCGGAGCGGCGAGCATGGTCCGTGCCGGTGAGTTACCTTCAACCTCGTAAAATTGAAGTTTGCAGACTCTGAGTTCAGAATACAAAGTTAGCTTATTTATCTTCATGTTCTTCGTATCCTCTAATTGATATATATATATATATATATATATATATATATATATATATATATATATATATATATATATATATATATCATGAAGCTTGTTTATGATCTAAATATATACTAATTTGTTTTAAATGAAAAGAATCCAACCAAGCGTCATAGAGAGTCACTTAGCTTTTGGCCTTTCATTCATGTGGAATTCTATCTTATCTTGTTTGCAGTTAGTGGCATGGATCCTACCATAAATGAATGATGCATTATCCACTGAATTCACACCTTCTTCTAATATTTCTAAACTGCATGCAAGTCACTTTCATTCCCATTGTATATTTCTCTGGTTTTGGGTGAATCTATCATTGATATCTCAGGACCTAAATAGCCTTGTTCTTTTTAGAGGTAAAAGTGCAGTGGAGATTAGAACTGTAGAACAAGTAACACAAAACATACTTTCTGTACATAATCTTGCAATTTTTCTGCATCAGAATGAACTAAACCAATCTTCATGATATTAGAAATTTAGAACTTTAGAATAATAGGCAACGCAAAGTTCATCTAGACAATTTAGTGTATATTTCTTTGGTTGCATCTTTCTCTCCTATATTAATTGTGAGAGCTCTGATGACTGTGTACTATCTAATATCACACCAAATTAGCATAGAAGAGAAACAGTCACACCTTTGAATGATGAACACACTTTGCTAGGCAATAAAGAATGAATACTGATCTTGTGATAGCTTCCTTGTTCTCCCCTGACATGGGAACACATAAGAACAACCATCAGTGTAGGAAGAATAGAAGAGGAAAGAGAAGCCATGGCTACTGAGTACAGAGGTGGAGGCCAAGGGGGGATTATATATACAAGAAATCTTTATGGTAGTGCAGTTGTTTATTGAAGTAATGGAAGAATTGAAGAAATTTCTTGGTCTCTCGGTCTCTCAATGTCATGTTGCATTGAGTCCTAGTCAGATAAGAACTAAAACCTTATCAGGTCCACACGTGGTCCAATTCAACTTACATAGTGGAATCCACCGAGCATGCAAAATGGAAGGCACACTTGAGTGGGTTTCACTTTGATGACAACCCAGATCATCTTCTAAGGTGTCTTCCTCATGTCATGCTGATGGCACAAAAAAGAAGGATGATTTCATGTCAGATGTTTCATGTATAGGTACTTTCTTCCTTGGTTATATATATTCATCCTTAAAGTTAGGATGCATTTATAATAAAATAAAAAAGATTTATGGCATGTTAGCTACAGGTTCAAGTAGTCACAGAGAGACCATAACTTGTTAGATGATTAGGTGGTGATCAACTAATAGACAAAATTAGTATCTTGCTTGGTTGTGTGCCACCTAAAACTTCTTGTTTGGTGATTCTGCAAAGATGCACTTGGATTCTTTCTCCACATTAGCATTAGCAAATACAAGGTATAGTGGTGGAAATCATCTGTGGGCTTTTTCTTAAGTTGATGTCTGTCAGCATCATTAATCCTATCATTATAATAATATGAACTTGGGCACTATCAGGTTGTGAATTCTGCTTAAGATAGACAGACTTAGGCAGGCAACTAGATGGTTCTGCTCATCAACATATCATTTGCTTGATATCAGAACTGATTAGGCAGGATTTGGAATTGCAGGAGCCAACTCTGACACCAGCATTCTTATTATGCCTAAATGCATCATATGAATATATCATACACATGTTAATCACCATGTATCAACATTCCATCAAAAGCTGTAACTGCAGTTGGACCTGGTAGTCTGATTTCCAAACAAGAGATGATTTACTGTTCTAGGAATAACACAATTCATACCTTGATGCAGTTGCTTAAATAGGTTAAAGATTAAGCTTGTCCCAAGCTCAAAACTACACAAAACTAGATTACACTCTTGATCGTTGATGCAATTGAAAATAGTAAATCGATCAGAACTAAGCACATCAGTGACTTGGTCTGAAATATATTGATTAGGCTTGAGCTAAATCTCTTTATCTAAACTCAGAACTTGTGTCAACCACAGCTGCTTGATGATGGCTGAACTATATCAAGCTCTGCGACATTACCAGTGGAGTTGAGTAAGACAGATGCACAACAGTGGAGTTTAGTCAGGCAGAGATGCACAATGGAAAACTCAAACATGCAATAATTGAATGAATCTGTGCTGATTATCTACTATTTCCATATTCAATTATATTTCTTTTTCTTTTCTGACATATCTTTCATTGCATACATAAACTATGCAACCAAAACATTATAAATCTTATATAATATGTATCTGTATCCATTTCTAGGCAAAGACTAATTGATTTCACTAACTCCTCCGTTATTTCATATCTTACTATGGCCTGCACTAGTTGTTCATTCATATGATATGCATGTGTTCATGTGTGAGTGATAAGCTAATTGTTCTTTGTTCCAAAGAGTGAAGCTTTGCTATTTTGTGGTGTACAACTTTCTTCTTATCAGAGGTGTTTTGTCACTGGCTGAGCTAGTGTTTGGTGTAATCTTTTATCGATCTCTGCAATGTTCAATCAGATAGAAGCAAGCAAAGCTTTTAAACCTCCATGTTGATTAAAGTGTTATTTTTTACTTTTGCATGTGTTCCATTTTCCCCCTTTCCCTCCGTTTCTATCTGTTCCTTCTGCTCATTCCACAATATGCATGACATGAATGACCAGCAACAACTATTCATTTATGCTCTTTCTTGGTCAGTTCAATTCTCTGTGCCAAAAGTGACTACTCAATTTGTGAATCTGCTGACTTGTTCTTTGCAATTCATTTATCTAATCATATATCTTATCATTTCTGCTAAGCAGGATTCGGCGAATAAATCGATGCTGTAAAATGGTTAGAGCAAATCAGAATTCTGGATGAACATTAGCTTATTCTCATCAGCAGGCTTGATATGATTTGGTTGTGTGCAAAAGGCTTAAATTTTTTTGCCAATTAATGAGATCAAGAAGAGCAATCTACTACTGCCGAGCAATTAAATTCTCCTATTTCACATGAACCCATGGCATCTCATCGTTGATCTTTGTCAACTAGAGTTGTGTGCCAAGATGATCTGCAAAGTTCCAAGGCTGTCTCTCTCCAGTCCAATACAATACTGTCTGCAAGACTCTGGGAATAACCTTTCTGTTGCAATGGTATGCTCCATGTTCCAAACTGAACATTGCCAACCACTATGCCTTATTCAGATAGTATGTGCCAAGATGAATCCATGTCATCTCATTGCTGAGCAAATCTTTTCCAATTTAACATGAATCCAAGACATATCTTTGATGATCCTTGTCAACTGGAGTTGTGTGCCAAAGATGCTCTACAAAGTGCAAAGGCTTTCTTTCTGTCTCTAGCTCAACACAGTACTGTGCAAGACTTGGGAAGAACTTTCTGCCGCAATGGTGTATTTCAGGTTCCATAGTCGGACATTGCTCACCATAATTCGTCACTTTAGATAATATTGTAATCTTAATTTTATTGCTATCTCAAATACTTTCTGCTAACCAATTGAGACGAGTTTTTTTTTCCCTAATCACTAGGTTTTATTTTTCTTAAATATTTTCTCGTACGCGTGAAATCTAAGATCTACATGGAGGATCTTAATATTATAATTAATATAATTTCTGAATGAATATTAACGAAAGAGATATACACATAATGTATAATTAATTCTATGCAAATTTATATTCTCTTTATCAAACTTCTTGATGTTGTGTGGTAAATTTTCTCTAATCCATGGCTATTGAATTTAAATTGAAAATATCATAAATTCAAATCTTGACTGTACCGTTCGATACAGATATATATTATAAAAACATATTACTTGATACTAGCACGATACAATTTATTTTTATTTTATTTGTTTTTACGATCACATATAGAATAAAATTTTACATCATTTTTGAAAAATAAAATTCTTGTTGAACTTAAATATCATTTTCTTAACGAAAGTACATGCTCTAAATCCTCCATGAGAGAAAGAATTATCACATTTGAAGAGAAGAAGAATCCCCATCCATTCTTTCATCCACAGCCAAACCCATCTTCTCCACTTGGATGCCACATACTGCATGCACTCACTCGACACTAAATCTGATCTTAATGTAATCCAAAGTGGAGGTTATGGGCACTCATGTCACTTCGAGCTCCTCCTTTCAACCCTTCCCTTTCAGCTGTCATAGTCAACTTAGATCCATGGCAGTCTCAAGCATGCTGCTCCCTCACTGGACTAGCCTTGCAACCACCAATTGCACCTTAGCCTCTCAATATAATAATAATAATCCATATGGAATGGAATTGGAGGAGGAAAAGATGAGGCAGCTTGACTTTGTTAATGCATGATCAGGGGATAAGGGAATCTTCTTGAGTTGCACACCTGCTTTAATCCACTGTTGGAGGAGTGTTCATAGCTGTTTTGCCCCTATTGGTGGGATGTATATGGTGATCAGTAGTAGCATGGATTGCCAAGTAGCAGATGGATAGACAGGCATCATTAGCTACACGAATCATGAAGTGTTACGTGGATCAAATGATACTTTGAATATGCGATTAAAATCGGTTAATAATTTCTATTACAACAGCTTCATCGATCCATCATCTGAATGTTTATTTAACAGTATGTTATTGATGAGATGAAAATATTGGCATGAATATATGGAGTTATTATAATTTTTTTAAATCATTTGTTAATAAACATGTATAACTTGTAAATGAGAAAAATTTACTTGGGTACGAACATATGCTAGGGAGACCGGTAGCGTGAAATAATTATAAATATAAAAGATCTATGTAACTAAATATATATTTAAATATATATTTAAAAATTAAAATATATGATAAATAGATGTATTTATATAATTTTTATAAAAAATATTAAAAATTATAAATATATATTTAAATACTCTTAAGTAACTAATAATATGACTTTTATAGAGGTTAATGATAATAAAAGATCTATGTAGCCGTTTGATCTCAAATAATTGAGGCTTTACGATATAT